GAGGCTTCTTGTATTTCTGGCCTGGTGCTCTATGTGCTATGGCGCCACCTAGCTGCCACACTAACCTTCCTTAAATGCTGCTTTTCTAAAATACAGGATTTCAAGCAGCCCGCTGGTACATTTTCAATGGCTCCATAATCTATCCTCCATCAATTTCCAACATCCCCACCCCCCACCCCAGTAGGGCCAACATCTGTGCTAGGGTATGACCACACCCTGTTCATCCTGGCATTGTCCCTTTATCCATTTTATTCTCCTCATCAGGAAAGTCCTTCCCTCTAACAAACTCCTGGAGGGCAGGCCTATCACCTCCTTGGCCTTGGTGCAGCCCAACATCATATTCACATGCCTGACTCATACTGAACTGCAATCTACTAAAACCCACAGTTTTTCAGACTAACTGTTACCTAATCATATCTCCTCCTTCTGATGACTTCATCTCTCAACCGTGACTTCAATGCACAGAAGCACCCCTAGCCTGTTTTCAGATGGAACTGAATGGAATAACAGCACTAATTAAGCACCTACTAGGTGCCAATGTAGATCTACAGAATTGTCCATAACTATCATTCTCTTTTCAGTAACAATAACCAAAAAAAAATTTTAAATTAAAAAAACAAAAATAAAAACCACGTGCTGCCAGCTTCCTTGGGAACCAGCAATCATCAGCAGGGCCAGCCCAGTCTGACACCACACACCTGCATCGCCACGTCTGAGTCTCTGCTGGCCTTGATCACTCTGGGATTTAGAGGAAAAGGGTCTGTGGGCGCATCGATCTGCCTGATCTGGAAATCACCATGCCCGACGATATGCAGGAGACGGTTTACATTGAAAGTCTGCCCACGAACATAGCCTGACACTTTTAGGGTGCCCACCAAGCTGCTCTCCTGGCTGGGCACAAAGTCAGCGGCGTGGGCAAACAAGTAGGAACGCCGGTCTCGGAAGGCCAGATGCCGCTGCTTCTGGTTAGCCAGCTGTCGCAGGAGCACCACAGCGTCCTGTGGGGTATCCAAATGGAGCAGTCTGTCCCCTGGAAATCGCTTCTCTAACGCCTTGCTCAGCTTCTTCTTGGCATCTGCTTGTTTCTTTGGGAGAAGGCCCCCAACCCCCTGGATGGCTAGAGCTGGACACAAAAGAAACAGACAAGTAGTTAGGAGCCACAAAAACCCACTGCAATTAATGAACCACTCACCCTGCACTAGGCATGGAGCACTGAGCCCAGCCTAGAGGTGGTAGGCAAGGGACTGGGGATGATATCCCATAAACTCAGACACTCAACCAATACTACATGGGTACCTGGACCCCTAAGAAGAGGATCCTACCCCTATCCTAAAGACTGTTGATAATCATAACTCACTTACAATAGGTAGGAAGCCCGTGGGCAAAGAGGCAAGAAAGGCAGTAATCCCCTGTGCTGTCCCAGCCCTCCACTGGATCCAGGATAAACAGGATGGTATCGGCCACTTTGGCAAGGTCCAACACAGTGTGCAGATCCCCTGGATTCAGAAGACAAAGTTAACAGTGACATCAGGAAGACATCACAAGCACTCGGAATATACCAAGAACATTGGCACTTAACTGCGAAAGAGGCAGCCCCAGGCTCCTCCCTTGGCCTTTCACCCACCTGGCATGGCAGATGTAAAGAACCATCGATGCTTCAGCTGAGGACAGAGCAGCATGAAGCTTGGCATCCCAGCCTGCTCGCCCACAGGCACAACCTTCTTGTCTGTGTCCTGGAGCAGCTGCAAAGCCTCACCCAGGGACACCCTGCCGTGCAGGGGCACCAGCAGCACCTGATGAGGCGGCCCATCCTTGCTGCCCAGTTGCCGCTTTTCTGCCAAGACCTAACAACAGGGAACAGAGCACTTTAAAGGTGGGCAGCACACCTTATTTCCCTCACTCTCATACTCTTTATTCCATTCGAGTAGTCTCTCTATCTTGAGATCCACAGGATTTAGAGACTACCTAATCCAACCTCTGTGTCTTAAGGAAATGAAGTCTTAGAGAGGCAGAGAACTTGTTCCAGGTCACCCAAGTAGTAAACAGCGATGCTAGGAGGAAAACCCAGATTCTCGAACTCTTAAATCCAACCTCATTCAGCTGTATCACACTGCTTCTAAAGGCATCTTGCACCTTCACCCAGTGTGCTGGGGCCAGCCCCCGAGAGACCAGGATGCTCCATCTATACTGGGCCATGGGGCCAAGAGCAGAACGCTGACCTGACCCTCTCTGACTCCATGACAGGTCCTATTCATCAACCACTGTCAAGCATCTATGCCTCAGGCACTGGGTGAGATGCCAGACGCCTAAGGGCGAAAGCGAACAGCCCTTGTGTTGAGGAGTTCCTATTTTCTATGAGATTACTCATAGGAGGAAGTCAGCACTAATTAATTAATGAGGGTGGTCCAGGAAAGGCTGCAACCCGAGACAGCACTGGAGCTGAGCCCAAAAAAGCAACACAGGGAGGCACGGGAGATTTCGGAGCAGGGGAGTTTCAAGATGACTTATTTCTTAGGAAGCTTATTCTGAAAACAGTTAGGAGTAAGGATAGAGAGGGGAGCCTGGAAACAGGTCCATTAAGAAGATATGACAATAATGTAGATAAAATAGGGGCTGAACCAAAGCGATGGCCACGTGATGGGGGAGAAAACCAGTGCTCCGTCTCAACTGTGGAAGTAAAATGGGATAGGATGGGGAGGAGGGGCAGTGACAGCAGTTGGGGGCAGTCTGCCCACGCGGCGCCCCCGTCCTCCCTCCCTGCCCCCCCCATGCCTCACCGCCTCTTTCTTCTGCTTCCGGAGCTGGCTGGCCCGGTGCCTCTGGTCCACTCGGCTCAGCTCCTTCCTCGCTTTCTTGCTCAGGACTTTCACGGCCACGCGACCTGGAAAGCAGAGCCGGGAGGCCAGAGGCGCGAAGTGAGTCCCGGGCCCTACGGGAGCCGGGGCGGGTCAGGCCCGGCCGACTGCGCAGAGCTGGGGGCAGGCCGGCGCGGAGAAAGGCCTCCTGCGCAGGTAAGGATGGAGAAAGGGCGGAGCTGACCCGTCCTTCTGCCCGCCCCAGGGACCCCCCCCACCTTTGCCGTCCCGCTGCGCGGAGCCTCGACCCCGGTGCCGCCCGCCCTTGTGAGCCTTATTCTGCTGCTTGAGCGGGCCGGAGCGATGGACCGCCATCTTCCTCCCCACGTGCGCGAGCCTACTACTTCCTGTACTAAGCCGAGTAGTTCCGGTTCCGCCGGCACAGAGGCCTGAGCGGGTGGGGGCCCTGCCAGGGGGCGGAGTTTGCTTGAGAGGAGCGGGTTTCCCCCACCCCCATTCTAGGAGTAGTTCACGCCCTAGCCAATGGGCCAACAGTATTTGAGTCAGCCTACCGCGTTCTAAACCTTCCCCAACGTGGCCCTCTGCGTGCTTTAAAAGGAAGTTCTGTCAGGTTCCCTGAGGAGCTTCACTCAGTCTCAGAGGTTTGCTTTTTCTCTCCTCGTTTATGGGAGTGTTCTCCTTTAATTGGGGAGGCCAGCTTGGCTATTGGCTTGTGACTAGGGAGACCCCTCCCCCCAGGCCCTTCTGAGCTCCTTGCGCAGGAGGACAGCCTCGTCTGCTCCGCGTCTGCTGCCTTCCGCCCTGCAGCCTAAAGCTATTCGTGACTTCTCCAATTCACATCAACTGTCTCTTCTTCCCTCCCTTCAGGGCCCTAATGCCCTTTGACTTTCTGTAGAACTCCCCCGAGAACTAAAGGATTTAGAATTGGAAGGGCCCTGGGAGGTGATCTCATCCCCATTACCATCAAAAATTTATTAAGCGCCCTGTGGCACTATGTGCCAGGCTCTGTGCTAAGCTCTGAATTCAACAAGGCAAACAAAAGACAACCTACTCAATTTTCTAGATCTCCCTTACTTCACACAAAAAGAAATTTCTTAGAGAGGGGAGATGCCCCTCAGACTAGGCTCTTCTCCCCTAACTAGTGGAACTGGGACCGAAGCCAATGGCTCAGGCTTGAAGCAAGTCTCTTCACCTCAGTTTCCCCCTTTGTAAAGTGGGCCCATCTCTACAGTCTCTTCCAGCACAAAAAATCCCGTGACTGTCCTGTCGCTGGCCAAACTAAGCCTGACGACTCCAAGACTCGGAGTTTGCAATCCTGCGACCGCTCCCCACCCCAGCAGCAGTGGATTGTAAACACGCAGTAACCTGCTCTGGAATGAATCTGGAGGCAGAGTCAACAACCCACACATTCATTAAGCATCTTCTACGCGCCAGGCACTGTGGTAAGCGTGGGGGATTAAAAGAAAAGCAAAAAGTAAAAAATAGCCCCTGCTCTCCAAGAGCTCACACACTGGGGAGACTCCATGCCCCATTCGGCCCAAAAAGATATAGCCAGATATACATTGGAGATCATTTCGGAGAGAAGAGCGGATCTCCAGCCTGGGGTGCTTGTCCAGCCTTTCGAAAGCCCTGCTAGCCTAAGGCCCGCCCAAGTCACGAGCTAGGGGCCCAGGATAGTTCTCCGCTAGCCCTGAAGAACTATTCCTACTGCCTTAGAACCCCGCAGGGTTCTCAATCTGCGGGGCTCGGTTTGTGGGCGCTCCGCTCCTGTTGCCCATGCCCTCGAACTGATCTCCCTGTCCAGCGGGAGAAGCCGTTATACTTGGGTATCCACTCTATGAGGCCCGCTACTTTCAGTCGGGCGAAGGGTCTCCCTCCTCTCCCCAACCTCCCCCACTTCTCGACCCAGGGGGTACGGCTGCATTCTGCCCCCCTTCTCCCACCATTCCCGTGTCAGTGGAGGTGGAATGGAGGGGGGCCTCACAATGTGCCAGGCGCACGCCCTCCGGGCTAGGGGTGCGGGGGAGGGCGGGGGGGGGGAGCCCGTTGCCATGGCGGCAGCTACTGGATGGTGAGCCGCTCCCCGGCCAGCCCTCCCCGCTTCCCCCCGCCCCAGGTAGGCGCTGCCTCCCCCTCGGCCTCCCCAAGCCCCCCCGGCCGTGGGAAGGGGCCGGGCCAGCCTCCTGACGTCTTGACTGTGCCGGGCTCGGAAGATGGCTGCGGAGCTGAACGGCGGGCAGCGGCTGCGGTGGCAGCTGCAGGGCGCCGGGAGCGCGGCCGCAGCGGCGGGTCGGGGCTCCGCCTTGCCCGCGGGCAGCTGAGCGACGAAGGACCAGACTAGGCGCGGCGGCCAGTGGCAGCAGCCCGGGCTGGCCGGCGCGGGGCTCCGATCCCCTGGCACCATGAGCCGCCCGGAGGACGCAGTCAAAGAGAAATTACTGTGGAACGTAAAAAAGGAGGTGAGGTTCGCGCCGGGGACGCAAAGAGCCCGATCCCAGTGGGTGCATCCCAACAAGCCCCAGCATGGGCGGGGGCATAGGACGTCCAAAAGGTCCAGTCTCAGGATAGCCCCTTACTTTAAGGCCCCTTCGTGCTTTGGAGGGACCCTCTCTGATTTTGGAGGACGCTCTCCGAGGGGGGAGTCCCGCCCAGCGTTCCCTGTTGTTTGTTTTCTCCGCGGTCCCTGCGGCTCCCCACCCTATGACGGCAGCAGCAACCGGGGAGCGAAGGGGAGAGAGGTGGTTGTTCCTGTGGAAGAGAGATTGGGGCGGGGGGGGGGGGAAGGGAGGAGATAACATTCATTCATCTGAAGCTCCACAGGAGAGGGGAACGGGGGCGCGGTTTCTCGGTGGATTCCCGTGAGAGTCCGGGCAATTCAGTGCAGCCCCCCCCAGCTCTGGGGTTCAAGGGTCGTTGAAGTTGGAAGCTTGGTTTCCCTGCTCCCCGTACCTGGGGACTTTGCTGCAAAAGGGTTTTCCCCACCCAGACTGTTTCTCCCTCCTCCCACCCCCTTCACCGAAACCACTGTCAGGGTCTTGCTTGAGAAAAGCCCGTGCGATCTTCTGCATTTTCAGTGTGCTTTTCTAATAGTGACACCCCTCTTCCCCAGTTTCCTTATACCTTGCCTCTCTGGCCTCTTCTATTCCTTGTTGCTTTCAGTTGCCTCTTCCCCACCCCCTCCCTTCCGTTCGTGTGATTCCCTCGGAATCGTCTTAGCTGCCCTGCCATGTTCTATCCTTTTATGGGGTCCATCTCTGAAAATACCCAATTGGCCTAGAAGCGTTTTTTATTATACCCAACCCAACCGAGCCCCTTTCTCTGCATCCTGCTCCTGTCTGGTTTGAGGCCCTGTCTTCCAACCACAGACATCTCCATACCCACACACCCCACACCCCAACCCTACTTATGAGCTATTTGAGAGCGAATGCCCCCAGGGAAAAGAGAGCCCCCTCCCCCAGCCTAGAGGGAAAGAGGGACTACTTTACTTGGGGGAGGAGGGATGCAGGGCCGTGTAGTAGACACCAGACTAGATGGTCCTTAGACCCTGCAAATGGCTAAGTGGAAGTCTGGCAGGATCCAAGAAGCTGATGTGGCCAATTTCAGGACCCGGGGTAGGCTGGTCTCAGGGGTCATTGGGGATAGGGATACTGCTTCTTAGCAAAGAATCTTCCTTTCCCTCCTCCAGGAAGGACTGCAGAATTTTAAACACACACTCTTAAACCCAAGGCTGACTGCCTTTCCTTTGTATATGCTTTCTCTTACTCCTCTTCCACAAAGGTACCGTTGAGCTACTGAAATTTGAAGGATACCTCCTAAGTCAGTTAGCCAGTCAACAAGCATTTATTGAGGGTTTCCTTTGTGACAGGCTTGCTAAGCTCTATAGGTACAAAGAAATGCAAGGGCAGTCCTTGCCCTGAAATATTGAACATCTTCATTTCTCCCGTTAGTAGTGAGATTCCTGAATGCACCTAGAAGAACATAGCCAGGAAGACATTAAACACGCCAGATCCCCAGGCAGGCAGACTGATGACCAACTGAATCTTACCCGGGGGAAATAAATAAAACCAGCTCACAAGTAGAAAACAGACTCTGTCCTCAGGGGACGTGGGCTGGATGGTATGGGAAGCAGGACACACTGAGAAAAAAGCCAACTAGGACAAAGGGCCTAGCCTACCCAGGCTATATTTGGACAATGCTGAAACTTGGTGAAGTTTGTCAGGTGAGGGGGAGGCCAGGCCATCATGGGATCATAGATTTAAAGCTGGAAGAGAACAGGGAGGTCATTTAGTCCAGCAGCCCCAACTTTCCAGATCAGGAAACTGAGGCCCACAGAGCCTAATGACATGTCACAGCTATTCAGTGACAAAGTTGGTATTTGAATCCAGGTCTTCTTGACCTCCAATCCAGCGCCCTTTCTTTCCACTGTTTGCTTAATGGATAAGTCCTAATCAAAATGAATGGTTTCCAAGCAAGTGTGAGGAGAGATGCCCTTCATTTACAAGCCCAGGTGGTCAACAAGGCATCCTACATGCCCTGGCTTAACCTTAAAAGCTATTGGCATCCCCACCTGTAGGGCCTTTAGAAGTAATTAATTCTGGGGCAGCTAGGTGGGGAAGTGGATAGATCGCCCTGGAGTCAGGAGGACCTGTGTTCAAATTCGACCTCAGATACTTGATACTTATTA